GAAATGAGAAGCGTAAAGGGTGTTGTTTTCTAACACCTTAGATTTTGACTTTAGAAGTTTCATCGTTGCAAGCTTTCAAATGGAATTCGATATAATAAAGGATTTATATTTATTATAGATAAAAATTTGGAAATTTGGACATTTGACGTACGCATAGTTGCTTAATTGCTAGATTCCACACAATAAAATTTACTTAGGAATTAAAAACTATAATAAATTTTACCATGTTAAACGTTTAAAAAAGTTGACAATTTTGCCCCAAAATAAGATATTTGTAGAAATACTTTCACCCGTTCCTTCCCCATGAGTCGTGGAAATATACAGGCACGTAAGAAGACAAATAGCTGTTGAGAAGATAAAAGAGTAGGAATAAAAGATCAAAGATAGGATGATGGTCAAAGCGCGGCCCATATAACAGACACGATCGAGGGTGGATACACGAGAAAACGAGGTGGAAAAGGGTGGTAAGCAGGATGTGGGACGACAATGTGGCGAGATGTTGGCACGTCACGTCAAGGGCTAAAAGTCCGCGAAACAATATCCAACCAGCAGCAGCAGCAGCAACCCATCCTGCTGTGCTACATCTCTCTTCCCTTTTCTCTTGCTGCTGCTTCTTCTGTTCCGTATTAGTTATCGTTTATCAGACCGGCCAGACAAAACGCGCCGTCGGGAATTGGGTGAGCCATCTGTTGCCAGACATGATCGATAAAAGTCCGCCAAGTGCTATCAGTGCTAAACTGCTATTTCGACGAGCTGCCGCACGTTTCACCCTTCCCTCTATATCCTACCCATCCCTCTCTCCCTCTGGACCACGGTTTGTCGACCGTTCACCACCTTTCGCGATTTCTTTCCCCGTTTTCGCTGTTCTTTCGACGTCCTCGTTCCTCCGCAACAGCTGTCCGAAACCGGAACTGTATACGCAATAAATTGAATCCTCCCTACAAATTGCTCGTTACTAACCGGTTACGTTTTTACTCGCTCGTAGGACAATGAACCGTAACGGGAAATCGAACTTGGGAATTAAAAAGTTTTTACTGGATCTCGCTGTATTTTATTGGATCTTAGCGTTCATGGTACTGGTCAGATTACGAATATTGAAAATAATTTGTATAAGTCGATTTTAACTTAAGACTGTTTAACGTAATATAAGAATGCAATGCAACGGTAGATCTTGATCGATCATGGGTCGATAAGACCGCAGTAGCGACAATGGCGAAGGAAAGGTCGCAGCGACGTAGTAAGACTTTCAACCCTAAACAATAAAGTTTAAATTTCAAACAGTAAAGTTCAAATATAGTAAATCTAGAGTTGGTAACTGAATCAGGACTGTTTTCTGTAGCTTAGATAGTGTAGAAAGTGATAGGAGATTTAGAAGATATAGGATAGAGAAATGGCAGAGACGTGTGGATACATATAGGAGATATGTGGATGTTTGTAGAGACTTCATATTTTCTGGTGAATGTTTGTTGTTAGCTTTTGAGAGATTTTGAGGAAGAATAAGATAGGTGTAAAATAGACAAGAAAAGTTTAATATAGAGATACTTTCTACATAGAACATATGTGTGTATTGAATCATATGTACAATTCCTAAGTTGCTAGATCTCTATATCTCTGTAGTTCTGTATTACTCTTATATCTTTATAACATACATCTTCGTGTCTGTATGTATAACATACATCCTATATTCTTGCATTCTTGTAACCTTGTGGTCATATGTATATCGTTGTGTTCCTATAACCATATGTCCCTATATGTACGTATTCCTATACCTACATACTACCATGTCCACACATCCCTATATCTTTATATATCTTCCTATCTCTATATCCTTTCATTCCCTATACCCTCGTATCCATATCTTTTTCTATCTCTATACCCCCGAGCCGCTATATCGTTGTGCTCCTATACCCTCATGTGCTTACATATATCAGCGTATCCCTATATCCCTGTGCCCCTATACTCTCATGTGCCTATATCAGCGTATTCCTATATCCACGTATCATTATACCCTTGTATTCCATATATTCTCAAGTCACTATATCCACACACGTCTATATCCTCGTACCCCCATATCTTCATGTCCCTATATCCACATATGCTTATATCCTTGTACCCCTATACCTTCATGTCCCTATATTCACATATGCTTACATCCTTGCACTTCTATATCGTCATGTCCCTATATCCACATATGCTTATATCCTTGCACCCCCATATCTTCATGTCGCTATATCCACATATGCTATATCCTTGTACCCCTATACCTTCATGTCCCTATATCCACATATGCTTATATCCTTGTACCCCTATATCGTCATGTCCCTATATCCACATATGCTTATATCCTAGCACCCCCATATCTTCATGTACCTATATCCACATATGCTTGTATCCTTGTACCCCTATATCTTCATGTCCCTATATTCACATATGCTTATATCCTTGCACGCCTATATCGTCATGTCCCTATATCCACCTATGCTTATATCCTTGTACCCCTATATCTTCATGTGCCCATATTCACATATGCTTATATCCTTGTACCCCTATATCTTCATGTCCCTATATGTACATACATATCTCTATATCCCTATATCCTTCTACCCCTATATCCCCATGTCGCTATATCCACATATCCTATATCCCTATATCTCCATTTCTCTATCACCGCTATCACTACCATCACTACTATTTATTCTCAAATCTCTACATTCTCAGAATTAATAAATTCACTTCAAAACGCAATCACGTCAAATGAGAAAAGACAAAAGCAGTTTACTTACTTTTGTTTCGTTCTAATTTTATTGAATTACTCCAAGGATATAATAATTCGAGAGAACGATATCGAAAGAGTACGGCGAAGCCGACGAAGCTTCCCATTTCGCCTTTTCCAATTTCTGGAGTGTCAATTTTGCAACACATGGCCCTTGCGTTATCGCGATGGAAGATTACACTTCCTGCCCGTTTTTTCTCCTATTCTTTTTCTTTGTACGCTTTTTTTTTACCGAAGCGTCGAGCAATTCCACGGGATAGCTTGATCAAATTGTTCCCCCGCTCGTAATAGATCTGCAAGAAAATGATTTCATTAGATGAAGCCGGGTCGATATAGGCACGTAATGTTGTTAGTGTCACTCACTTTGACGCGCGATATCCATCAATTTTTTTTCGAATCACATAGATTTTATTGATCCAACTTTCATTAATTCCAATAATACTCGTTACTTATATCGTATCTACGTAATTTTTATTTGAGCGCAAATCTATTCTGCAAATTCGATTCGGATTCACGAAATTTATAGAGCGTTTCTTTAATTTTGACTTCGATGAAATAAATTGTAAAAATGTTGAAAGTGTTTGTATAAGAAAACTATTAAATTTTTTGCTTCTTCAACATATTTTGACAGCTGTAACAAAGTGTGTAATTAAAAAATTTGAGTATATTAAAAATTCATCAGACCACAAACCAGGGAGAAAAAGACAAAAAATGTAAAAAATTAAAGAATTTAAAAATAGAATAAAATTTCGTTACATATTTTTGAATATTTTGCTAGTTAGAAAGCTCTGCTTGTGAAATAATGTATCAGAATAAAAAAAAATGCGTTTGGCAATTTCGAACATTTTCGAATGTAAAATGTTTCAAAATCTGTCACTTGCATTTTACATTCATTTTCCCACAAACTCGCGAAAAAAATAATGTAATTGATTTTACGAACGTCGACCGAAAAAGAGACAATCGGAAAAGCTGGGAAGCTGACAATGCAAAAGCTGCCTCGTACGAAATCGAAAGGCAGAATCGTAAAGAAATTTTAATATAGCGAGTCACGAGGTAAAAACTGAAATATTTTTATGAAACCACGGCACAAATTTAATATCGCTTTTAAGCAGTCGCACGAGATGCCGGACATAGATTAGTGTTAGTAGTGTACACGTCAATACATGTATAAATTGAATCCGCTATAGGAATTTCTCGTCAAAGAGAGGAATTCTTGCTTCCTCTTTTTCCCCTCGATAGTTGCCTCCTATGTGTTATGTGACGTCGAGCGTAAAACTGCATCACATAGGTCCGTTATATTTTTCGCAAGGTTATACTTATAAAAAATTCTGTAAATTAGGTTAATAAGGAATTAAATTATTATTGTTTACGTTTACTATTGCGCTGTTGTGTGTATGTGTGAATGATGTTAAATATGTACTCTCTCTCTCTACTCATGTAATATTTAGTATACGAGTTTCGCCATTTTAGGAAAATTAGTATAGCGATTTTGGGTAGCTCTGGATTTTTGATCAGATCGATTAACCTGATCTGGTTCTTGCTTTGATCTGAAATTCACCCCATCCCCACATGTAACGTTCATTACTCAAATTTCTCCATTTTGTGAAAATTAGTATAGCAACTCTAGGTGACTCTAAATTTTTGATCAGATCGATTGATTACTCTGATCTAGTTCAAGCTTAGATCTGAAATTCACCCCGTCCCCACGTGTAACGTTTAATATTCGAATTTCGCCATTTTGTGAAAATTAGTATAGCAACTCTGGGTGACTCTGAATTTTCGATCAGATCGATTGATTACTTTGATCTAATTCAAGCTTAGATCTGAAATTCACCCCGTCCCCACATGTAACGTTTAATGTTCGAATTTCGCCATTTTGTGAAAATTAGTATAGCAACTCTGGTTAACTCTAGATTTTTTATCAGATCGATTGATTACTCTGATCTAGTTCAAGCTTAGATCTGAAATATCAGAGATGTATTTAGAGTACTAAGACTGCCTGATCAAAGTTATCGGTTCATAAATTATCTTAAATCTACAAATTTAATGATGTTATCGAAATGTATGATGTTTATCAAGATATGGAATCCGTATACTCCCCCATTTGTACATTCATGTATTCCTCCTCCATATTTAATTTTAAATTAACAACATCTGTATATCTCTAGATTAAGTAATATTGTTTAATAATTCACTGAACTAATTCAATAATCCATTTTTTGTCCAGATATGGATCTACCAAAGCACTCGAAGAAAGTGGGAAATCGTCGAGGGGAAGAGGACACAAACGAATCGATAAGTGATCGAGATCACAGACTGAATCACGTGTACCAGGGTTCTTTACGAGAAACGGGTTCAACCTTAGAGCCATTCTTCGACGATGACGACGTATCCTCGTCGACGTCCTCGAACAAAATTCTACCAATCGCCTCTTGTATCCTTCTGATAACACTTTGCCAGCTGCTTGTTTTCACGTAAAGAATATTAACACACGTCGAACGAATAATGCGTTCAATTCGACGACAATGATTATTTTTATCGCGTCGTTAACTATCGAACTCTGTGCTGTGTTAGCCAATCGACTGAGGAAAAACATCATTTTCCATATTGATCTTTGTATCCGTTTCGTCATTCCATCGATGATACTCTACATAGACGAAATTGTTGCTGAACGAAATTTGGTTGCAGGTTTTTTTGCTGAGTTCGGTCGGTGAGTAACGATATCTACAGCCATATTATTTCGTCTAAGGTTTTGCTTTAATAATTATTTTATTTTCATGATTTATGATTTTATAGTGATTTAAAATAAATCAACACAGAGTTTCTTTGAATATTTTTTTTGTTAATTTTCAATGATCTTAAAATTTGAAAAATAATTTTCTTACTTTGATATTTTTTTAAAATTTGTTAAAGAGAAACTTTCGACAATAAATATTAAAGTATTGTATTACTTTTCCTCACTTTTTATCCACGACAAGTTTGAAAGTAATACGACTAGGTTATAATAAAAAGTATAAACTATTTAGCGTGATTAGATCACTTTTATATAAAACCTTATACATATCCCGCAATTCACGGTATCTTACAAATTTATTCGTTTAATAGAAAATTTTCATTTTGCTTCACTAATAATAATTACAAAATTTTTAACAATTCCAAATGTATTTTACCTGAAAATTTTGAGTGAGTTTAAATTAGATTTATCTCTTCCGTTAAAACTGTTAGAGGTGCAAAAGTTTTCATAGTTTTATCTTAATCAAAATATTTTCTATCATTTTTACTACCGTTGGGAAAAAATGCTATAAAAGTTTATGGTCTTAGAATAAAATATAGAATTGTTTATACGTAAGCGATGGGAACTTTTGCATCTGTTTACAAGATAATTAACGTCCACATATATAAATAACTGCGCATTCTGGAATATTTAATTATTTCTTCTTTTAAATTCTTAACGAAAAGCTGGTTCGAACAACAAAATAAATATCAAAGATATAAAATCGATCTGACACATCGTTTCAAAGGTTTCTGGGTGTTAAACATTTTAATAAACACGTCAACGTTCTTTAAACGAATGACAAATTTTAATTCATCTTGTCGGTAGTGCAAGCAATTTTATCCCGCCAATTAAAAAGACACGTCTCGTTAGAGCAATTTCACCATCCACCTGTTACTCTGTAATCTACTTGACCCACGTGTAGGTCCACACTTTAATGTAGTACCACTTGTACGATCTTTCAGCAAAAGTATCAGACCGGAGAAGCGCTTTAATGTGGTCTAAAAAATACGAGTTTAATGGTTACAATGTGTCTGCTGGTTAATAAAGCTAGTAATTAAACAAAACATTTCGGGGGAAAATAAAGATATTAACACCTTGCGTTATAATCGAGCTTTCGTGGCGCTAATTGTAGCGTCGTATTTATTAAATATTCGAGTGTTAATTATTCGTTATGTAATAACTTTTGAAATAAATTATTAATGAAATTATTTAGAGATATTAAGAATGAAGTAACAAACGTTTCTTGTCACAAAAATTTAAAGAAAAATTATATAGCATTGCAAAATTATTTTTTGACAAAGCACAGTAAACAATAAATATTTTCGTTAATTTTGTTAGTCATCCAGAATAAAAGAATTTCAAAATATATTTCATGAAAAATATTTGAAATCGAGTTAATTGAATAAAAATTTAAATGTCAATCAATCTTGATAAATCAATAGTAGATGTTTTGTGGAAGTAAAATAAAATCCACTACTGTTCTTTGCAGCGTTTCAATCAAGTCCCCTAAAAAGTAGTAATCTTTGAAAATCTAGGATTATGGAGGATTATACCGTAGCTACATTTGTAACAAAAATGTGTACGAAATTTCAGGAAAGAGTGCATTGTGTTGTTTTTCGAAAGTTTTTTACACGTTCTTTAAAAAGCGATTTTGAGAAGAGTATTTGAAAATTTGTGATAGGATTATTTTTAGCAGCAATTGTTCAATTTTAGAAACCTTTCTGGAAATGTGAAGATATCTGAATGTATAAAATAAAAATAGAGAGTCAAATTTATTATTGAAGATTTGATGAAGTTAATTTATGGAGAATAATTTAGTCAAATATTTGTGATGCTATTTTACTGTGTACAAAGAAAACGAAATTTTACAGTACATATATTAACCATTTTTTATTAATATCTCAGAGATTAATATTTAATTAATTTAATTAATATTTCAGTCAAAGTTCAGATTAATATCTCAGCTTTCAACTGAATATATGTATTCCATACATATTTCATTAACATGAAATTAGCCAATATTCTTTAAATACTAAGAAATAGCGTCTCAACAACAAATTATATAAAAAAATTTGGAATTAATATAAATTAACAAAAATATTTAGCTGATTAGTACAAAAAATTCACTGCTATCCACATAAAGCCTTTTAACAATTCCCTTAAATTCAGAGATCACAGTTAAATTTGATTTGACAAAATAAAATTTTGTTTCGAAGTACAATATCAATTATTATAAAGTTCATGTTATGAACCGACTTAATCCACCTTAATTTTTTTCTACAAAAAAACAGTGCTTGCTAGTGAGAATATGTGTGGTACTTTAACATACAGGTAATGTCACGTGTGGTGGTCTAACGATGAACTAATATAACGCGTGGTAACCTAACGGGGATCTAATACAACGCATGGTGATCTAACGCGTAATTAATGCAACATGCGGTGACGGTGTAGGAAGGTTATACAACATGTAGCGATTTATCGTAGGTTATACAATGTGGGGTAGATTAACACGTATCAGTTTATCACGTCTAAGGTGTTGTGTTGACAAATCGCAATTGAACGCGTAGCTAATTGAAACTTGTGACGAACTAACGCGTAGACTGTAATAACAAGTACCGATTTAACGCATAAGTAGTATGTGCGGCAATAAATGATGTGTTGCAATATAATACACGTGTCAATTTGATTCGTTACAATATAGCATACGTGACAAACTGGTGCGTTGCAATGTAATACGCGCGGAGATCTAATGCGTTGCAGTACACGTGTGCCGTAGCTAATACAACACATGCAGGTGTAACACACGAGCTATAAACACATGTAGACCTATCGCACAAGCTATACAACACCTGTAGATTTAACACATTAGCTACACAACACGTGTAGATCTATCACACAAACTGTACAACACGTATAGATCTATCACAGAAGCTATACCACATATGTAGATCTAACACATTAGCTACACAACACGTATAGATCTATCACAGAAGCTATACCACATATGTAGATCTAACACATAAGCTACACAACACATGTAGATCTATCACTCATGACATTCAACGCGTGCAGATCTAACGCGGAAGCTATACAACGCGTATTAATTCAACACCTAGGTTACACAATGCATGATGATCTCACACGTAAGGTATATAACATGTGTCACTTTCATGCGTTGTAATATGATACTCGTAGTGATGTGATGCGTTGCAGTATACTACGCGTGACAATCTCATGCGTTGTAATTTAATACTCGTGGTGATTTGATGCGTTGTAATATTATACCCGTAGTGATTCAGTACGTTGCAGTACACTACGCGTGACGATCTCATGCGTTGTAATATAATACTCGTGGTGATTTGATGCGTTGTAATATAATACTCGTGGTGATCTGGTACGTTGCAGTATACTACACGTGGAAATCTCATATGTTGTAATGTAATACTCGTGGTGATTTGGTGCGTTGTAATATAATACTCGTGGTGATCTGGTACGTTGCAGTATACAACACGTGGAAATCTCATATGTTGTAATGTAATACTCGTGGTGATTTAGTGCGTTGTAATATAATACTCGTGGTGATTTAGTGCGTTGCAGTATACTACGCATGGAGATCTCATGTGTTCTATTATACAACAGTACCAATCTTATGCGTTGCAGTACACTACTCGTGAAGATTTGATACGTTACAATACATTATACGTTGTGATGTGATACGTTACAGTACACTACGCGTGGAGATCTCATGCGTTGTAATACACTACACATGGAGATCCGATACGTTACAGTATGCTACGCGTGCCGATCTCATGCATTGTAACACACTACACATGATATCTGATGCGTTGCAGTATACTACGCATGGAGATCTCATGTGTTCTATTATACAACAGTACCAATCTTATGCGTTGCAGTACACTACTCGTGAAGATTTGATGCGTTCCAATACATTATACGTGGTGATGTGATACGTTACAGTACACTACGCGAGGAGGTCTCATGCGTTATAATACACTACACATGGAGATCCGATACGTTGCAGTATGTTACGCGTGCCGATCTCATGCATTGTAATACACTACACATGGAGATCTGATGCGTTGCAGTATACTACGCGTATCGATCTCATGCATTGTAATACACAACGCGTGCCGATCTAATGCGTAGGTAATACAACGTATGGAAATCATACGCGTGAGTTATTCAACACACGACATTCCAATGCATAAGTTATACTGTATTTAGTGATCTAATGGAGAGGTTATAACGTGTGGAGATCTAATGCGTTGCAGTATACTACTCGTGACAATCTGATGCGTTGTAATATACTACTCACAGCTCTCTGATACATTGCCGTACACAATATGTGCAGATGTGATACTCTGCAATATACAACGTGGCAATTTAACGCGTCTCCATAAAACGCGTGTCTAATGCATATCCACACAACAGCTAACGATCCAATACATAAAAATTTTAAATTCAATTGAAGTAGAATTTGAAATTTAATTTCAGTAAAAATTTCAAATTTATTTACAGTAATATTTACAATTAAATTAAAGTAAAATTTACAATTGAATTCAAGCAAAATTCAAAATTGAATTAAATTAAAATTTAAAATTAAATTAAAATAAAATGCAAAAGTGAATTAAAATAAAATTTAAAATTGAATTAAAGCAAAATTCAAAATTGAATTAAAATAAAATTTAAAAGTGATATAAGCAAAATTCGAAATTGAATTAAAGTAAAATTTAAAATTTAATCAATCTTAAAAATTAAAAACTTAAAAAATTAAAACCTTAAAAACTTAAGAACTTAAAAACTTAAGAACTTACAAACTTAAAGACTTAGAAACTTAAAAACTTAAAAACTTAAAAACTTAAAAACTTAAAAACTTAAAAACTTAAAAACTTAAAAACTTAAAAACTTAAAAACTTAAAAACTTAAAAACTTAAAAACTTAAAAACTTAAAAACTTAAAAACTTAAAAACTTAAAAACAAAACTTAAAAACTTAAAAACTTAAAAAC